GGGCGTGTGCCTCCACTCTTTCTTTGGGCTTGGTTTTCGACGGCGGGCCCGGGCCGGGAGAGGGAGGGAGGGGATCGGAGGGGAGGGTCACCGTCACGGACGGAGTCGCGCACACGGGGTGGCGTTAGACCTGTAAGGCGCGTCCATGGATCCCGTGCTCCTCTTTTTTCTTGGGTGCGAAAGGGTCCCTGTCCCTGTAAGTGAGGGCTCATAAGGTTTTCTGGGAGGCGTGTGGCGACGTGATTGCTTGGAGTAGCTCTTGGGCCGGACGGAAGGTGGGATACGAGTGCGTGTGAGTGAGTGAGTGAGTGGCGCAGTAAGTCAGCATCTGGAGTGAGTGAGTGAGTGAGCGGGAGAGGCTGAACAGATAGACTTGGACGAGGGAACTGCAGAGAATGGTTACCAAGATAATACCAAGAGCCCCCGAGAGAACTGCTACATGCCAGTCAACACACCCGCCGGCCGACAAGCCTAGGCCTACAACATGCTTCGTCGCTGCATGCAAAGCGACCTGTCCGTCGAGAAGGATCCGGTATTGCACGGCGGCACAGCTAGTTGGCCCTCGCAGCGCTGGCTCCTCGGCCAAGGACATCGGCCAAGTACGCAGGAACGGACGGCCTCCACAGCCTCGCCCGGCAAGTGGTGATACGTATTATTTTTTTTTAACTGGGCCTGCCATGCATTGCCAAACCTTCGGACGGTCCCCAGCCACGGCCGCCGCCTTTTTGCTTGTCCCATAGCTACGCGTGTATCCATCTCCATCCCATCCCATATCCACCCGCCGCGTCGGTCGGTCCGGGTCGACTTCCAATTAGTTCCGTTCCCCATTCCAGCCCCGACAAAGTGCCCTGCCATGCCCTGCCATGCCCTGCCCTGCCCTGTCCTGCCCTGTCCTGGGCCCGCGGAGAAAACCCCGGGGGGGCTGTGCCATGTGGGAGAGGAACGGTGGCGGCGTGCCCGCGATTGCGACAGCTGTCAGCCCGTCAGGGGGCCTCTGGACGGCGGCGCAACCCACCACATGCCTCGTTTATTGGGCCTGGCCAAGCCTGAGCGCCACCCGATAAAGTGACAGGTCCGAACGGTTTGGCTTCCCGAACGCCGCAGGTCCCGAGGATGGTCGCGGTCGGTTCCCTGGGGCTGCGGGGGGGCAAGACGGGTTTGACTGAGTCGCTGCTCGAGAGACGCGCGGGCGGGCGCGGGCGGGCGGGTACCCCAGGCGGTGCTACTGGACAATACTCTTGGATTATCAGCCGTAGCCTCGAACTCTAAACGCGCTGATGGAAGGTCGCACCGTCAGGATCGCAACCGCCGGCCCGGGACCGTGTGACGAGGGTCCGCCCTGTACGCCGGTCTTCATACGACGACGAGCCAGATGTTGCGGCGGCCAAGTGAACCCTGGCTTGGGGGCGTAATACGATGCGGACTGGGGGGTCCTCGCCGATGCAGCGATCATGCACGCCCGGATTCTGGGCCAAGCGAGACAAGCGGTGATGGCTTCAACGTGCGTTCCCCGCAAGGGCTCGGACGCACCCACGATGCACCAAGGCGCGTCCCCGTCGACACCGCCGCTGCTTCGCGCTTCGTACGGGCCCCGAGCATCCTCGGCGATGGTGTGCTAACTCCCGCAATGACATGCAACGATCGGCCTAGCCAGCAGTCGTCCTCGGTACGGAACGACGGTACGGAACGGAGTCACGGTTGCATCGACGCGCGGCGCGCTGGAACGGCCGAGCGAACCTCGCGCTTAGCTTCAACGGCAGTTGTTGTCCTGCGCTACTGTAGCAGCTAGTCGACGATCGCCGCGTCTGCAACGGCCGCCACCTCTTCGTCCACCTCTTGGAGGACCTCCTCCATTTCCGCCTCGGTCGCCTCCAGACCCTCGGAGCTCATGAGCTTGTTGTCCTTGTCCTCGGCTGCAGTGCATGGTTAGCATACGTCCTTGCAGGCGGTAAGATTGCAGGGCGGCAGCCCTGCAGAGTTGGCACTCACTTCTCGCCTCGACCAGCAGGTTCTCTTGCACCTCGCAATCTGTCAGCACCGATCCGTCCCCGATAACGCACCTCTTCCCGAGGATGCACTTGGAGAGCTTGCAGCCCTTGCCGACAACAACGCCGTCCATGAGCACGCATTGTGAGAGCTTTGCGCCTTCCTTGATCTGGCATCCCGCCCCAACAACCGTCTCCTTGATCGACGTCTTCTCCTCCACCGTCACGTTCTCGCCGATCAGGCTGTCCTGCTTGGTGATGGTCGTTCGGGGCTTGACACCTTCCGGATACGCGACCTTCTTGGGATGCGCAAACGGTGAGGCTGCATCTGGTCCGGCCTCTTCAATGGAGGGAAGCTTTGCCAGCTGCAGGGAGATGGCCAAAAGCAACTGCGCCGTATCTACCCGCCGAATGAGAGGAACTGCATCCTGGCCCTGAGCGCCCGGTATGTAAGCGAGGACTGGCGGTACGTCGAAGCCAGGCAGCGATGAATCGCCTTTTCCTTGCACCTGGAGACTGTCAACACCCTGTATTTGCGGCCTTGACTGAGTCTTTGACGCAGCTTGACCAGCCGGGCTTGACTCCTTGGACGATGATATGCTCTCGGGCGTCGACTCGTTGTCGTCGTCGCCGCTACTCCTGCCGCAAAACGAATCGAAATGCAGCTTCTCGGCGAGGCCCGTCTGCCATTGCGCCTTTGCCCACCAGCCCACAACGTCCTCGCCGATGCTCTCGAGGCGGTCATTCTCCTTGACAAAGTCAAGGACCCATCGGGGGAAGACGTAGATGTGGGCGTCCCTCTTGGTCGTGTGCATCCGCGCACGGGGGTTGGCCCGCAAGAGCGCGTGCCTGAGTGGCAAGGACTTGCGCTCCTCAGTGATGTCGTTGAGCGAGTCTGTCGGGATCGAGTACACCAGCTTGGACAGATGCTGGAAGATGGATCCCCGTGGTGACGGGATCGGTGACGGCGGCAGAGGCGTCGTCGCAACGAAATCTGTCTCCTCTCCCTTGACCGTGACCGTGGCTTTCGTATCGTACCACACGGTCAACCCGCCATTGTGGCGGGGCTGGTGACCATTGGTGAAGTTGGTGCTGCTCAGCAGATCCGTTGCGCTGGCCGACTTGACCATCCAGGCTTGCAACAGCTTCTCCCCTGCCAGCTCACAAATCAGGTCGCACGGGAGAATGACGAAGTCGGATTGGATGAGCTCGCGAACTTCGGGGAGACGTAGAATCTCCGCGGTCCCGGTGTTCTGGTCCAGGTCCGCTGGGGCAAGGATGTCTGGGCGCGGAAGTGGTAGCCCCGTGAGATACGGGTTTGTGTTCATGGCTGCGGTGAGTGCCTGAGAGGCAGAGGGAGGGCATATCAATGTGATGTCTGGCCAATGTCAGCGACTGAGGGCGTGCAATTACAGGTTCCTTGCCATGGCCTTTGCGTGTCATAGAGACCGCCCGTAGGTGGTGCCAGGAGGCGGCCGTGAGACTTACCGGTGATGCCAGTTCTCAGGCAGAAGTCGATGGGATACCAGACCATGGGCCGATTGGCGATTGGCAACAGGGCCTTGGGGTTCTCGTCTGGGTTTGACGTAAACGTAGGGAACGACGAGCCAGGTCCGCAGAGAATGAGGGCCTGGAGCCCCGTCGAGGGCATCGAGGTGGCGTGGGGGGACATGGTGAGGAGGATGAGGTGCAATGCCCTCGCAAGGCACGGAATCTGCCTTGGGATGCCAGGGGTACGGTGCTGTCTTTCGCCTCTAGGGATATCCAAGCGCTCAGGCAGCCCTGGGATGGCTTCGCAGCAGATCGCAAGCGGGTGCTGCGCTGTCGTGTAGCTGCCGCAATGGTGAAGCCAGAAAGTGTCGCGGGGCAGCAATGAAGAGTCATGCAAAAGGTGCCAGAGATAATGTAGGGCTGTGGATTCAAGGTGTGGCTGGTGAGTGTGTGGCGCAGGTCGGAGGAAAGCCACAGTTTATTGTACTCGAGTGATGCACCGATGCGGCGGGTGCTTCACGTGCCTGTACGCCTGTTCCCAGCTCGGTCTCCACTAAACTGAGAAGGGACTGGAAGGAGCAGCCGCACCGCAGCGCCAGCCAGCCTCCCGCCCTCGGTCCGGATCTTCAATGGTCCTCGGGGCCCCGGCCAATGGAGGAGCCTCGGGATAACCCTCTGAGCGCGTTGCTGGGCTGAGAGCCGTTAGGCGCTCCACCATTGTTGACATCCATCCTCCCATCCCATCCCATGCCACCCCATCCCATCCGGGGCTCTCGTCACTCCAGCCACCGGACTTTGACGTTGGCAAACCCTTTGTCCGGCTCCTGCCCAGTTGCATCCCCGGACTTTCGCCTGCAACCAACACGCTGTCGTTGATTCGCAACTCCATAACAGCCTCGCGCTGTCGAACGACGACAGACAAGACAACGCCGCATCGGTTGAGCGCCGCCGTCTGCCTCTGCTGTGTTCGGCGCCCTCCCCCCACCCCCTCCCTACGCACCCAGCGATGCGACAACATTCCTTCTAAATGTCATCGCCGTTCGATCGCCCCGACCGCGGGTCCTCGCGACGCGGCGTCTGGTCGCATTGGGTGCCGCTCGCCGTAACTGTCACAGTCGCAACCGTTGGCCTGGCCGCTTGGGTCTGGAGCCAGCGCAAGGACGACGAGGGTGGCGCCGTCGACCACGATGCCGAGCCCGACCTCGACTACGAGAATGCAGACTACGGCGACAACCCTCCCTATGGCGCAACGAGCCGCGACCGGACCGCCGACGCACGGCCGCCGCGACGCGACGACGAGAGCATCGGCGTAGGCCCTGGCCCCGGCCCCGGCCCTGCGCCGAGCGACGTCTCCGCTGCTGGATGGGGCGCGCGCATGTCCGGCGCTCTCCGGCGTACCCCGAGTCCGCAGCAGTTCCTCGACTCGACCGGCAAGACGGTCGCCGCCGGCGTTGCTGCGGCCGGCGCGGCCATGGGCAAGGCCTTGGCCTCGATCCGCGAGGAAGACAAACACTATGGCGAGAACCCGTGGTCCGAGGAAGCCGACGCGAAGAAGGATCGCGCCGCGCCCGCATCGGACAAGAGACGCAGGACTGTCGCAATTGTGGTGTCGGCAGACGCGCAAGTGTCGGCCGCCGACGACCACGAAATTGCCGTGCGTGAACCTCAATCCGTCCCTGGCCATTGATCCACTGACACGCTGCGCAGTCCATCCTGTCTCACATTCCGCGCCACAACGACTTCTCCCGGATCAAGCTCTACATCCTCATCTACGCCCCTGACCTGAAGGACACTGCGCTGGAGACTGCTACCAGTAACCTACCGCCGCCTTCGCTGAGCTCGTCATTTTCTAACATTGGCCACGATCAAGCGCAAACACCGGGCGAGGAGGCCAAGAGCCCTCTGTAAGTTTTCTTGTGGACGCCGGAGTGAAGTTAAATGGACGCATGCTGACGAATTCAAGTGCGGCTGCGACGAACAATGCGGCCTTCAACGCCGTGTATTCACAAGCGCTGACGCTCGTGGACAAGGAGCCGATGATTCTGCCATTCACGACGCCGAATGGCCACGTCCACATCTTGCGCCATATCCAGCCCGAGGTCGTCTACCTCCAGGAGTCGCTGGCGGGCGACAACGGCAGCATCATCACCAACCTTCAGACGTGGCTGCGCCACGACGTGATCCTGGTTGTCGGCGCCGAGAGCGGGTCTGGTGGCCTGGCGGACAGTGAGTCAGAGGCAGAAAAGAGCGGCAAAGAGGAGAAGTGGTGGCAGCGCCCCGAGAGGGTTGGCCGCGGCCGCGGCGTCGTGGTCGTAGACGGCATGCGGGTGCATGACGACTGGACTCGTCGTGTCCAGGGCCGGGAATGATCAATGGGGCCACGAAGTGGAAGGCTTCCGACGCTGGACAGGGACGGGATTGACCAAGATGCTGGGATGCCACGTATGTACATGTAAATAGGATCTCTGGTACCACCAAAGCTGAGATATGATTGACGTATTGCCACGCTATGCCACTTTATAGCACCAACTCTGTTGTGAGCATCGAGGTGGGACACGAAGGGCCATGCGGAAGTGGCATTGCAGACCCAGCAACAAGGCGCGAGAAAAACACTTCATGATATCGTGCAGTGTTGACCTTAAATTTTTACATCCCCATCCTGCGCGACGAGACGACAAGCTTTTCGCCAAACATCAAACCCTCTGCGCGTTTTGCACCTTGTTTGTTTGCCTTTGCAACATCGCAACCCATTGTACAGGGTAGGCCAGCAGTTTGGGGCGCTGACCAAAAAACACGGCCGTCACGTGATCGCAGCGCGTGCTCGTCCATCGTGGGGGCCAAGGCGCATCGACGAGACGACCAAGGACTACCGGACGCTCACCCTTGCACCAAGCACGTCGTCGTCTTCGCACGTCGGATATCCCTCGCTCGCTTTTGTCGCTGCATCCCGGAGAAAACGCAGGACCCTTTCGCCCTCGCTCACCGATGCATTATTTCTAGCTCCCGCTGCCCGACCCGTGGCTGCGCTCGCCCGCTGCTCGTACTACTTTGGTTGTATGTACTGCCAGCGTGGGAGTCTCCGCAGCCCACTAGCGCCAACCGCGACGACTCGACATCATCCCTCCGACCTCACCTCACCCGGCATCGAGCGACGCCCGCCCTGCGGCATCCATGATCGCGTCTTGGGGTGCGATACAACGCCCTGAGCCAGGAGACCGATCGGCGGACCCGAATCACCAGCGTCGCGAGTAGCGAACACCACATACCCGGCAGCCACCATGGTTACCGTCAGCCCCGTCCCCATTCCTACGCCAAAGACGAAGCGGCCCATCCCTCCGGGCATACAGACTAATGGCTCCTCTGCGCCGGCGGGGACGTCGTCGCCGTCCCCTTCAATGTCTGCGAAGAAGCCCCCGACGAGCGCCGCCAAGCAGACCCCGACCTCGGCGAGCGATCGCACCATTACCGCCTCCACCGTGCGACCGGTGAATCGCGCCCGTCGGGAAGCATCATCACAGGCTCTGGGTAGGGCCTCGAGAAATAGCGCGGGCTTGCGCATTGCGTCGTCGCTCGATATGGTGGCTGTAGACTCGCAGCCGCGCCCATATGGTATGTTTTCGTCTTTGCTCGTTAGCGCGTCGCGTTTCTGACACATGGCAGCCCTATCGCAAAGCGATGTCCTCAAGAAATTCGCCGGCCGACCTCCGTCTCTGGTCATCCATCTACATCCGGGACACTTTCGGTTCGACGGACAGGACAGCGTGTTCGCGTACAAATCCCCCATGAAGGTGTTCTTGGAACACCTCCGCGCCAAGACGATCCCTCACGACCTATTGGAATACTTTATCCAGGCCAATGTGCCTTTTTACGATGGCTGCCTTATTGTGCAAGTACACGATCACAAGTCGCAAGCACAGCCGAAAGACGACAGCAAATCCAAATCCGCATCCAGCGCCGTCGTGCCGTCGAGCATCCATAACTACAACCAGTATCTAACTCCTTCGCCCTATATCCCGTTTCCCAAAGATGGAGCGCAGACCGGCGGGGCGATCAAGAAGGACGACGAGAACCAGAAGGAGGCGAAACCGGCCGACAAGGATGCGGAGAGTATGCCTGCCCCGAGCCTGCCAGGGGACGGCTCCAAGGCAAAGTCGCCCGCCAAGGCCAAAGTCTTCACCAAGGTCATGTTTCCTACGCAGGAGAGCCTGCAGGCGGACCTAAGAATAAAGGCGACGACGGCCGGGACTGCCACCGATGGAGCGTTGCCGCCGTCGACCCCGATGTCCTTGGTGCCTCCGACTCCGACCGCCGGCAACATGCCACCCCCAGCGAAGCGCCAGAAGAAGGAGAAGATGGAGCTCGATGGAAGCAACATATACGCGGTCGAGGGGCAAATTTTGCTGGAGACGATGCCCAAGCTCATGCTTGAGCCGACAAAGAATGCCGAGGAGACGATTGCTCTTTTGGAGGCCTGGGCGCATCCCAGCCATTCCGAGCCGCCCCCGCAACCCAAATCGCGCAAGCGTACCGTGGCCGAGATGGCAGCGGACGAGGCCGCAGCCGCCGACCAGGAGCGTTATATGCTCGTCCTGGACGACAGGCTGTCCGCCACTGCAGCGGGCAACCAGGTCTCGGGAGGTGCCGACGGGGACGCACAAAACGGTGGCACCACCTTCGAGCCCAGGTTCGAACGGTTCAAGGTTATCGAGGACATCAAGAGGGAGCAAGCCGAGAAGAAGGAACAGGAGCGCATCAAGCAGCAGGAGAACGACCGCCGGATGCATATGCAGCGACAGCAAGAGGCTATGCAGAGGCAGCAGGCCGAGGCCGAGAAGGCGAGACGGGATGCGGCCGCGGCAAGAGAGAATCAACTGCGACAGGCCGAAGCTCAGCGACAAGCCATGGCGGCCCGTGCCGCCGCCGCGGCGAACCAGGCGCAGAACGCACAGAACATGGGCCAGCCTCAGCATGGACATCCCGTTCAGAACGGGACCATGCCGACCGGCATGCCCAACGGTGTCGCCGTTGCCGGTCAAAACGCCATGGCCAATGGCATGCAAGGCCAGGCGCAGCCTCGTTTCCCGGCTCAAATGTCACAAGCCCCCGCTTCGTCACCCGTCATACGACAGGGTACACCACAGAATATGTCTTCACCGATGGTCGGCAGCGTCCCCATGCAGCAGACCAACTCGAACATGGCCAACAGCCCTCCCCGACCGCCCTCGGTGGTCCAAAATGCCCAAATGGGCGTGCCCATGGCCCATCAAATGTCTGCCCGGGGCAGCCAGCAAAGTCATCCCTCAGGAACACCCCGTATGCCTCACTCCACACCCAACATGGCTCATGGCACGCCCATCAACCGGCCTGCAATGGTTGCAACTCCGCGCATGACGCAGGCGAGCCCGCCACCCAACATGATGGCCCAGAACTCGCAGATGGGCCAGGCCATGATGATGAACAACCAAGGTATGGCGCAGCACAACCCTCAGGTGTTTGCGCAGATGGCGGCCCAGCAGCGTGCCATTGCCCAACAACAGCAGCAAATGGCTGCCATGCAGGGCGGCGGCGCGCACGCGGGCATGAACGGACAAGGAATGTCTCCACAGCAGCAGCAACAGATGATGCAGATGATGCAGCGGCAGATGATGCTGCAACAGCAGCAGCAGCAACAGCAACAGCAGCAGCAGCAGCAGCAGCATCAACAACAGCAGCCGCAGGGAGGTATGATGACGCCCCAGCAGCAACAGCAGCAGTTTGCCCAGTACGCCCAGCAGCTTCAGAACATGCAGGGCAACCAGCTGCGGCAGATGAGCCCGCAGATGCAGGCCCAGCTGCAGCAGATGGCGCGTATGGGACAGATGGGCAACCCGATGCAGCGACAGGTCAGCGGCCAGATGATGAACGGCAACGTCAACATGCAAGCATTCGCTGCGATGCAGATGCAGCAGGCACAACAGGCGCAGCAGCAGCAGCAGCACCAAGGGCAGCCGCAGCAAATGGGGGCCAACCCAATCCAGGCGCAGATCCAGGCCAGCGCTCGCCAGATCTACGGACGACTGCTCCAGGCTGCCATTGCCAAGTTTGGCGGACAAGACCGGGTACCGCCAGAGGCGATCGACAAGATGAAGCAGTCGTCTATGGCCCAGGCGCAGCAGTTGCTCCAGCAGACGATGGCGCAGCGAAGGGCACAGCAGCAGATGATGCTCCAGCAACAACAGGCGGCAGCGCAGCAGCAGCAACAGCAGCAGCAGCACGCCGCAATGCAGGGCATGGGAGGCATGATGGGACACCAAGGGATGTAGGCTCTCCCTTGGGGAGTGGGATGATTCAAGAGGTCTACGATATCCTTGCGCAGCGGCGCTACGCTGAGCGGAAGCCAAGCCGGCTGGGCTCGGCCACGCTGGGAGGGATGGTTGTTTTTGCGTTGTTTGTGCACTTGTGTTGCTCTAATACCCCCGGGAAAGGTTTCGAGGCTATGGGTTTTGCTGGTCGTCCACGGCGGCGGACGACGGTTTTGTTTCGGTACCAGGAGTCATTGCAGTGGTGGTCGCTCCGGCGCGGCGTTCGTTGGTCTGGGGTTTTGACTCTGTATGCATGGGATGTATTATAGGAGCAGCGATGATGCAAAAGAAATCGTCGGCATTTGAGATTCTAAATAAGCGTGCAACGTGAGCGGCTTCTGGTGATGACGGTACGTAGTGAGTTGGTATCCGCGAGCAGCAGCAGTCCGGTGTGACGTTCTTGGTCGGGGCCAGTCACGTGCAATTGGCTCAGCGATCCACCATGACGGAAGCGCGGCGCGGCCGCCCAGGAGAGGAAGCTGGTCACGTCCAAGGCCGGGCAGCAGAGCGAGCCACATGGGCTCCCTCATCGCTCAACGTGACACCTCCATCATCGAGCTTCCATCCACCCGTCCCAGCCACTCTTTTGACGCGCGCATCTGGCCTGGAGCTGCTTCATTGTCGCTTTTGCTATTTCTCACCGATTTGATAGACCGCATCGTCTTCGTCGGCTCCCGACGTAGCTCCCAGCGACTCCGCCCGACCTTTCCCATCATCCCCACTAGCCTCCATCACCCTTTGGCAACCACCCGATGCATCCGCCGCCGCAATTATCGGCGCTCGCCCTCTCCGTGCTCCTGGCGCCGCTGCCGGCGTGGGCGATGCTGGACTGCAAGAACATCCGCGTCGATGGCCACAGCTTCGACCTGAGCAAGCTCGACGGCCCGCACTCGGTCGTCACGACGTCGTATGACTCGAGCGCCGACACGCACCGCAACACGACGTATACGCTGGACGTGTGCAAGCCGCTCAAAAAGAGCACCGACAAGGAGAAGCAGAAGGCGGAGTGCGTTAACAACACCAGAGGTAAGAAGACCCGGCGTGTCCCGGCCTGGTAGCCGTGCCGTTACATGCAACGAACTGACGAAACATTTCCAGTCTGCGCGATCCAGCACCTGCTGCAGGGCAAGACAGATGTCGTCGAAAAGGTCGTGGCCATCGCGGGCGCGCTGGAAAACCTCGGCGGGTCGCAGTTCGAGTACGAGGCGACACGGCTGAAGACGAGCGACTCCAACAGCGACTCGGAGAAGGAGGGCCTGCGGCTCGTGCTCAAGGGCGGCAAGTTCCCGCTCGACGGCAAGGTCAAGGACCGACGCGAACAAAAGGCCATTATCGAGTTCCTGTGCGACAAGGACAAGGAGGGCAATGAGGGCGAGTGGGAGTCTGAGGACAAGTACGAGGGCGGCAAGAAGCTGCGACGGGCTGACGACAAGAAGGACGAGAAGAAAGAAGACGGCGAGGACGGCGACAAGGACGACGGCAAGGAAAAGTCGTCGTCGGAGCACCAGCTCAAGAAGGACAACGCGGCGCTGATCTGGAAGAGCTACGGACCGGAGAAGGACGCCGATGTGCTGCGGCTCGAGTGGCACACCAAGCACGCGTGCGAGACGCGGGACGGCAGCGGTGGGGATGACAACGGCAACTCCAGCACGCACTGGGGCTTCTTCACCTGGTTTGTCATCATGTAAGTTCGGCCGGTTTTTGGTTGCTTTGTTGTTGTCGTGGATGCTAACCGGGGCGGCAGCGTCTTCCTGGGCATCGCGGCCTACTTGATCTTCGGGTCGTGGCTCAACTACAACCGCTACGGAGCCCGGGGCTGGGACCTGGTCCCGCACGGCGACACGCTGCGCGACATCCCGTACCTGCTCAAGGACTGGACGAGGCGGGTGCTGAACACGGTACAGGGGACGGGCAGCCGGGGCGGATACAGCGCGGTCTAGGCAACCGGCCAGAGCTGAGGGAATGGCTTGATTTCACCGCTGTGGATGGTACCTGACGAGTTATAGAGATGGCCTCGGGACGAGGCTTCGTGTTGGTGACCGACCGGACGGAGCCTTGCGCCTGCACGGTGCGCATATGATGATTTGGTAAGTATTTTGTGGCAGCTGGCGATGGCATGCGTCTCGGTCTCTCGAGTGTACAAATATGCGGGCTGCGGCAACACGGCATGCTCCTTTTCTGTTTTCGAGGCAGAGATTGCCATTTCTCGGAGCACCTCCGATGTCTGGAGCGTGATTCACGAGCGCTGTTGGGTGTGATTCATACTTTGTACTCGCGGTAGTAATTGATGGAGGACGGGGGACAAAGGGCGTGGATGCGACGCGCCCTTGGCACACGGACAGCCGAGGAGATGCGCCGAGCCCGCTGCTGCTCCCGTGGTGGTGTGTCACGCCCACAGCTGCTCGGCAATGCCAGGTTACCTACTTCGTACCTCCCTAGGAAGTAAATGAAAGGGCAGTATACAGCAGGTAGTATCCCTATGGTAGCGGTACCTTGGCATGACTATGCGCGGATTTGTCGCCTCCTGCGTGCGCCTTTATTTTAGCAGCGCGGCATGTTGCATGGATGGCTGCGACGGTGACAATTGCAGCGCCAGTGAGCCATATTCCAGTCGCAGTTGGGCGTGTTAGTCGCCGTGTCTCTACCTCCGAGCCCCTGGTACTCGCACCCGAGGGGCCGGTAGCGGTACCGGACCTTTATCGATAAGGCGCCTGTCGAATAAATGTCGACTCACACCCACCCGCACTTGCCCATGTCCTACCATCTCCCCCCTCTGCCCATTGCTTCGCTTCGTCCAAGGTGTTTACTCGGCCGGGGCACTCAATGGCTCTGATTCTGTCTCTTCGCCGCCAGTCGCGGGCACTGGCGGGCTCGTCGTGGGCGGCGGCGACGGCGGCGGGCGTTGCGCGGGGCCCGTCGCAGCGCCGGTGCTTTGCGTCGAACCTGGCCGCCGGCGTCCAGCAGACGATCAAGGTGAGTTTTTCTGCGAGGACCTTTTCCCCTCCGACGAAGCAGCAGCAGCAGCAGCAGCAACAGCAGCTGACGCGAGAGCCACCCAGAGAGATGCCGCCCTGCCGAACCCGGACCCCAGGGACGACTCGCCCAGCGCGGCGCTCGTGGCCGAGCACAGCCCCTACATGGTGGCGACGTACGCGCGCCCGCCGCCCGTCTTCGTGCAGGGCGAGGGCTCGTGGCTCTGGGACGTGGAGAACCGCCGCTACCTCGACTTCACGGCGGGCATCGCGGTGACGGCGCTGGGCCACTGCGACGCCGAGTTCGCGCGCATCGTGGCCGACCAGGCCGCCACCCTCGTCCACGCCTCCAACCTCTACTACAACCCCTGGACCGGCGCCCTGTCCAAGCTGCTCGTCGACAAGACGCGCGAGCTCGGCGGCATGCACGACGCCGCCTCCGTCTTCGTCTGCAACTCGGGCTCCGAGGCCAACGAGGCCGCCATCAAGTTCGCCCGCAAGGTCGGCAAGGTGCTCGACCCCTCGGGCGGCAAGACCGACGTCGTCTCCTTTGACGGCGCGTTCCACGGCCGCACCATGGGCGCCCTCTCGGCCACCCATAACCCCAAGTACCAGAAGCCCTTCTCGCCCATGGTACCCGGCTTCCGCATCGGCCGCTACAACGACGTGGCCGCCATCAACGACACCGTCACCGAGTCGACGTGCGGCGTCATCGTTGAGCCCATCCAGGGCGAGGGCGGCGTCCAGACCGCCACCCCCGAGTTCCTCGTCGCCCTGGCCCGCCGCTGCCGCGAGGTCGGCGCAGTCCTCATCTACGACGAGATCCAGTGCGGCCTGTCCCGCACCGGCGACTTCTGGGCCCACGCCGGCCTGCCCCGCGAGGCGCACCCGGACATCCTCACCTCGGCCAAGGCCCTCGGCAACGGCTTCCCCGTCGGCGCCGTCATCGTGAACGACCATGTCGGCAGCAAGATCAAGGTCGGCGACCACGGCACCACCTTTGGCGGCAACCCCATGGCCTGCCGCCTCGCCCACTACATGGTCGGCCGCCTCGCCGACCCGAAGCTGGCCCGCGACGTCGCCACCAAGGGCGACCTGTTCCGCAAGCGCTTCGCCGCCCTGAGCGACCGCTTCCCCGGCCTCGTCTCCGAGGTCCGCGGCCGCGGCCTCATCCTCGGCCTACAGCTGACCGAGGACCCGGCCCCGATCGTCAAGGCCGCCCGCGAGAGGGGCCTGCTCGTCATCACGGCCGGCACCAACACCCTGCGCTTCGTGCCCAGCCTGCTCGTCTCCGAGGACGAGATCAACCAGGGCGTCGACATTTTGGAGGAGGCCATTGCGGCGACGCGGCCGTAGGCGGGTTCTCACGAGGGCAGAGGGACCTGCCGTCTGACATGATGCTGTTGCGTTCGTGCTCGTTTTGCGTTTGAGTGAGGCGTTTACAGTTTGTCTGCAGAAAAAGGCTGTCTGGATACCAAGGCAGGCAGGCTAGCGAAGATCAGTCGTGTACATAGACAGACAAACAAGGAGTGCAAAAGCCGTTCATCAAGACACCAATCGCCTGTCTTCTCTGCAGGGTGAGTGTCTGCTTCTTCCAGCAAGGCGCGCTTCGACTGGCTTCGACACCGACGACCTACGCCCCTTTCCTTGCCCCCCTGGACTGGGATCCCAAACCGGGCGTGAAAAGCCTCGGGCCGGGCCACAACTCTACGTGCTCGAACTTTCTGCCCGGCTGGTTGGACCCCCCCCCTTACGAGACTGCGGGCGTTGGACAGTATAATAGAGTTGTCTTCGAGGAAAAGGCTATACACCATACGCGCGAGCGCGCGCGAGTCCTGTAAGCCACGCCCACTTTGTATAAAAAGCACACTTTCGGCTCGTCCACTTCCTCTCCTGTCCAGGACCAGCACCGGAGAGAAACACTTGCTTGCACCGTACATCTCCCATCTCTCTCCCACTCGGGCAGCACTTCTTCTCTCCAGTCGTCCACCAACCACCACCACCAACAATACCGCCGCCACCAACATACATCTTCCACGCAGGCACTGCTACTTCTCTGCAGCTTCGTCCACCCCTGACATATCCCACTCGAACCCTCTTCTTTTCATCCTTCAACTCTAGCACTGTTCTCTTCAGAGTTTTCCAAGATGAAGCCTCGCGCCCTCCTCCAGTCTGCGTGCCTCGCCGGCTCGGCGCGGGCGGCGCTCTGGGCTCGTGGTTATAACAACAACACCACTGCCACCAACATCAACAACAGTTACAGCAACAGCAACACCATGGGCGGCGGCCGCTCCGTCAATGCCACTGCGCCCGTCTATGTCAACAACACGGCCGCTACCACCGCCAACGACAACAACACCACACCCGACAAAAGCGGCGTTGAGGATATCGGCAGCGGCAGCAGCAGCAGCAGCAGCAGCAGCACCGACGACCTCTCCTCCGCCGTCGGCGTCACCGCCACCCTAGGGGGCTACACCATCCCGCGCGACCTCCCCGATGGACACTACACCATCGCCCTCCACCCCAACGGCACCGCGCTGCACACCCTCCGCTGGCACGCCCCCTCCCGCCGCTGGCACACGCTCCACCGCCGCGCGGGCGGCACCGGCGAGTACACCTTCCTCGTCGACGACGCGCACCTCCGCCTCGAGGCCGTGTCGCAGGACTCGCACGCCCAGCAGCGCGTGCCCCTCCCCGCCGACAAGCTGCAGTGCCACTGCCTCCACCAGCGCGCCTACTCCCCGCTCAACTACCCGCTGCCACCCGGCGACTACTACGCCTCCAAGCAGGAGCTCTTCAACTGGTGCAACACCTTCGGCTGGCAGGGCCACCACGTCAGCATGGCCCTCGGCGGCAGCGTCGCCGTCTACGTCTGCGGCCGCAAGCACACCCACCACGTCAACGGCGTGTGCTCCGAGGCAGAGTACCTCGCCGCAGAGGGCATCTTGAATCAGACGTGCGGCGACGCCGGCGGCTACGTCTTCATCGACGAGTGGAACAAGGAGTATGGCCGCATGTTTCGCGGCGAGACCATCTGTCGTCTGTGGCAGGACGGGCCCGACCAGCTCATCCCCGTAAAGACCGTCTTCGACGACCCTGACGGACGGGGCTCCCTCACCAGCGAGCCCAAGGGTGACAGGCCCGACGAGTCGGCAAAGGACCTGTACGACAAGACCGTTTTCGAGCCGCTCGAGTCCAAGTTTGGCAACGAAGGCGACGACGACGAGCGTCAGGACTTTCGTGGTACCTATTCGCAGTATAGCCCCGGCTGGGGAGAGGGCTGGAAGACTCTTCCACCGCCAAATGAAGAGGAATGGAAAGAGGACTCTCACTAAAGCCGCCTGTGTGATGAGGTGGATGGGGGAGGGTACTTTGGTTTTGCAGGGTCTATGGGCGTGGCCTGGGGAATCTGCAATATCCGGCGGTGTGCTTAACGTGTTATGAGGTCATTCATTTCTCATTTCTTATCAGTTCATGTACTCTGAGGTAACCGAATAATTGTCGCTACTCCTACAGTTCCATAGCCATTCGACGTATGGTTCTAACAAGCTGCGTGTGTCTTGCCAGTCTTGCCCTGCAGCGAGTGCTTCTCGTCCTGTCTTTGGTCAGCCGCTTGTCCAGAACCGGTGCTCGGGACAGCTCACCTTGTATGCGTGCGTCTTGTGCTTCACGTGCCGGGCTCTGCCTGCGGCCGGGACATGCGTGTTGAGATACTCCTCGCGCTTCTTGAGGCTCTCCTCGTCCGTTTGCTCCAGAAGACCGACGCACAATTTGATGTCGTCAATAAGAATGTCACACTTGCTCCGGGAAAAGTCCTCACGAACGACGACACGGAGCATCTTGAGCTTGTTCGTGTGAGGGGCCATTGTGTATGCCGGAACAACCCAGCCACGGCTGCGCAACTGGCGAGCAAGGGCAAACTCGTCGTAGAACCGCTCTTTGCCTCCCTCCTTCTCGTTGGCGAAGCGGAAGGCAACAAGAGGAAGACCCTCACCGGCGCGCTTGGACATGATTTTGAAGCCCAGAGACTCAAGAGACTCGGTCAGGTAGTCGGCGTTGCGCACCAGGTTGCTCATGATGGCTCGGTAGCCGTGCTTGCCTAGGCGGATGAGCTGGTAGTACTGCCCAATGACCTGTGAAGCTCCCTTGGAAAAGTTGAGAGTAAACGACGACTGTTGGGCACCGAGGTAATCGATGTTAAAGACGAGGTCCTGAGGTAGGTACTCGGGAGCTCGCCAGACGACCCAACCTACACCGGGGTACACGAGGCCATACTGAAAAATGCATGAGCCGCAATGGCATAACTGAAATTGGACCGGACGCTGGGATCATACCTTGTGACCTGAGACGTTGATCGAGACGACCTTTTCGCAGCGGAAATCCCACTCGAGGTCCGGTGTGACAAAGGGGGCGACAAACCCGCCGCTGGCGGCATCGACGTGAATAGGCACGTTGATCTTCTTCTTCACGAGCAGGTCGTTGACGGCCTTGACATCTTCGTAGTCGCCGGTATAGGTCGTGCCCATAATCAGAACGCAGCCAATCGTGTTTTCGTCACACAAGGAAACCATCTCCTCGGGGTCGATAACGAAGCGCTCAGGAGTGCAGTAGACAAACTTCTCCTCAATCTCAAAGTATCGCGTCGCCTTTTCCCAGCAGACCTGGACGGCCGAGGACATGATGAGGTTCGGGTTCTCGGTGCTCTTGCCTTCGGCCTGGCGACGGATCTTCCAGCGTCGCTTCATAGCCAGGACGGCGAGCATGATGGCCTCGGACGAGCCGACGGACGAGGTGCCGATGGCGCTGCCGCTCGGGGCGTGAAACAGGTCGCCAATCATGTTGACGCAGCGGTTCTGGATCTCTGCCGTCTGTGGGTATTCCTCGTAGTCGATGAAGTTCTTGGGGAGGGCGTCGGCCATGAGCTTCTCGGCTTCGTCTTCCTGTAGGACGTGAGTCGTGGGGTCAGCCGGTGAGGTCGACGAGGATGTGCGGGGCGGGGCAATATCGCACCATGTAAGTCGTAACGAACGAGGCCAAGCTGTCGGACGGTACGGTTAGTATTTCAGAATGGCTGGTAGTTGCGGAAGAACGCACTTTAGCTTGGGGTTGCCATCGAGGCTGAGCTCGTCCTTGATCATGCGGTAGGCGACCTCGCGGGGCATCTGGCACTCGGGCATCTTGGTGGTGGGCAGCTCCTGAGCAGCGAAGCGGGAGCCGTAGACGCTCGTGGTGAACTCGTCGCCATAGCTAGCGAGCTGCAGCAGGTGCGTCTTCTTCTCGATGAGCTTCGCGGCGGCATCGGGGTCGGCGCCGACGCCAGCAGAGGCGGCATCGGTGGCCTTGGGGGGCTCGCCGTCGGCGTGGTGGATGGCTGCGAGGTGGACCATGGCGGGGGAGGATGCTGGGTAGTGACGGTTGTGTATGTGCGTCGCGAGAGAAGTGAAGCTGGCGACGGTCCGTGGCAAAGCTGGAGAGAGAAATCTGGGACAGAGGAGGCAGGTCGAGGAAGGAGAAGGGTAGGGGCAACGGAGGGAGGGAGGGATGGAGGGGGAGGGGCAGAGGTCTAGCATCAGAATAGCTACATAATGCCACTAGTAGAGGATGCAAGCGCGAGGGAGGGAGCTTGCCGAAGCTTGTTTGGCCACGGGCAGGCCAATGCCTCGCTTCCAAGCAAGGATGAGGCAGGGCTAAGCGTCGAATTGGATGGATACATTTGCCCATGGATGCCATTCATCCATCCATCCATTGCATCAGCATCAGGGCGGTCGGGTAGGCCGTGCCGCGGTTGGGCCACCTCGCATGGAACAGCTAGCTGCCTTGGACGATTATCCCCAGCTCGGACCTACGCAGTACAAGCTTCATCCCCTGTCACGACTCACTAGGAGCTCGCGCTCGCAGCAAAAAACAAAGGCAAACAATACATACTACATAGCTCGCTTGCAGGCAGAGTCGCGCGCGTCACGACCCGCCGCCAAAACTGGGCGCCGCCGGCCCCTCCGTCCTGTCAGCTTCTCGACAGGCCACCACCACTCGCGCGGGACGACGGCGGGTGCGGCGGCCACTTACACGGGAAGGACGGCGGATGGCTGAGCGTGGATCACCGAGCGTCGATGGCTCAGCACCTGGGGAGCGGGGATCTGAGAAAACAAAAGGTGGGCGAACGGATCTGTCGGCTTGGGATTCCCACGACGGCGCGGGCCAGGGGTGCCAAGTTTCAGCAACCCTGCCGGGGGTGCCGAGCGCCGACAGTAGTACTGTAGATACTGCAGCATGCAGCAACAGGAATGCTAGGCATCATCAATCACACGCCGCGTCTTCGTCCTTCCATGCAAAAGGCGCCTCGACATGATGAGCCGTTTCCCGCAGACATGGGCGGCGGCGGCGGCCCGTGCAGGCCACGCTCACCGGGGTGCCCCCTAACTACCCATCTGCGCCGGGTTTCCCCATCTACTCTTCGGGGATCTGGAGGTCCTGCAGCGGAGGTTTCGACGGTGAAAAGAACTGCCGAAGAGTGTCACGGCGCGGCGCCAGCGGGTCAATAAGCTTCGGGGGCACAGGGGAGGGGGATGACGTCCACGGCGGTGATGACGAGGTGCCCGTGCTGAGGTGGAATAATAGATCCGAGCGCGTGGTGGGGGGGAAAAGCGGGCGCCTACAGGTACCTGGAGCAGTTGCCAGCCCACGGCCAGGCACACCTGCCCGAGTGGAGCTGGAGGCATCCTATTGTCCGCCAGAGCTTCACTGCAGCATGGCGGGCAGTGCCCGGCATCGAGGTCGCCGCCACGCGCGCTGTGGGAATTGCAGTGGCTGCCGGGCATCTCCAGGTACCTTAAGGTAGGTACCGACCTGGAGGTCCAGCTGAGCCAATCCACCACCTCTAGTACCTTGACAGCGGCATCCATTCCAAGAAAAGCCCTGGCACTCGGCTCGGACAGCCGCGAGCAGCTCCAGTGGAGGAGTCTCCATATCTTGGTGGCCCAACCCCCCACTGCAGCTCCAGACATGGATGTCGCCGCACGCTCGGCGCCAAACTGCCGTCCTTGGCGGCGGTGCTGCATCTCGATTCCCCCCGGGCCCCGGCATGGTTTTCGCCAACGGGGAGCCAGCACGGCGAGACTGTCGGTTCGTTCATTGGCGTGGCGTACCTCGATGTTATTACCGAGTGTGAGTTGTGGGGTTATACATCCAACATGCCATGCAGCGCCATCGTATGCTTCTCTGAATCCTCCTGCACCCCGGAGATAGACTACCTCAGGTAGGCAACATTACCCAATCGTCAAGACATCATCAACGGCTCACCAGGCATCACTCATGATAATCGAACAGTGGTAGTATAGTAAGATGGTCATTCGCTCGTCAAGTGCTAGCCAAAGCTCAACATGCCCGCTAAATACGTCGTGCCTAGTCTTCGCCCCCCGTCCCCGTCAACCCGCTCGCCAGCCCGTGCATCCGCCGCCCCAGCAGGTCGTCGGTGCTCTTGAGCTTCACCAGGCTCATGTTCTTGTTGAGCGCCTTTTTGCCCTTCTTGGCGGCGCCGTTGCCGTTTCCATTGCCGTTGCTGTTGCTGCTGTTGCTGCTGCTGTTGCCATTCCCATTACCGTTCGCGCGCGGCCTCTCCTCTTCCTTGCCCTCCTCGTCCGTACCCTTGGATACTGACGTCCGCGCGCGGCTCATCTTGGTCATGCTTATCTCAAGCGGCCGGTCCTCATCACCGCTCGACTCCGTCGTGGGGTTACGCCGGTGGTGTCGCCACCCTCCGTCCATCGCCTGGCCGTTCTGGGCATGCTGCGGCACCGTCATCGACAGCTCGGCGGGCGGCGTCTGCGGCGGGCGAAGGTGCCGCGTCCGCGCCTGCTCTGCCTCGGTGAAGAGCTGCTCGAACCACACGGCGCACCGCTCAAAGTGCCGCCACGCCGGCGGGTAGATCCCCGGGAACTGCATGAAGCCATGGGAGATGCCCGGGATGAGCATCACCTCGGCCGCCTCCTTGTCGTCAAACGTGCGCTCCGCCCGCTTCGGCCCCAGACGCTCCCGCGCGGCCGCCTCCTTGGCTCGCCGCAGCCGGCCCGCAAACACGACCGTATCGTCCACGAGGGGATCTCGCTCGCCCGTCATAAAGTACGTCTTGGGGAACCGCGCGAGCAGGGACTCGGGCGCCAGCACCGGGCTGAGGAGGTAGTCCTGCGTGAAGTCGGGCCGGTTGTGCGCACCAATGTACAGTATGATCATGGCTCGCATCATCTCGGGAGTGAGCACGCGGTCGTTGAAGTAGGAAATCATGGACGAGGTGGCTAGCCGCGTCTTCATTGGCTGTGCGTGGTGCGACATGCCGCTGTCCACCCGCTTGTCCTCCTTGGACGCATTGGCTGCTGCTGGGTGGCTCAGGGACGAGGGGCCCGAGTGCGAGTACTGAGGTTGCGACTCGTACGGGCTCGTCGGCTCCTCCGTCTGCTTGTCTTCCGGCGCTGGCGTGCTGTCGTCCTCATCGTCAGAGTGATGCGGCGTGCCGACGAGCTCGTTGTACTGCATGCTCTTGCGCCTCACTATGGAGCGGTTCGTTTTACGCATCTTGCGGTCGCGTATCAGCGACATCTGCTCGTCCGTCATCCAGTTGCCAATGTTCATGTCCAGCGCCGGGTAGAAGCACACGAGGCCATCGGGCGGCGGCAGGCTCTCGCGACCGGCGAAGCGTCGGAACTCGGTGCTGGCCGTCTCGAGAATCATGAGCGTTGACGCGACGGCGAGGTTGCCGCCCGCACTGTCGCCGGTGATGATGACCCGGGGCGTTTCGCGACCCGACATGCCGATACAGCGGCCCTTTGTCTTGACTATGGTGGCGTAGACATCGAAGCACTCGTTGAGGCCGTAGGGGTAGGGATATTCGGGGGCCTTCTTATAGTCGAGGCTGAGGATGGGCAGGCCCGACTTGGACGCCCAGGCAAAGAGCTTGTCGTCGTTGCAGCGGGGGTCCATGGCAACGAAGCCGCCGCCGGGAATGTCGAGAATGACGCGGCTGTGGTGGGCGAGGTCGGCGACGGGCCCGTCATAGTAGAGCCAGGCGGCGACGGGTTCGCTGTAGTCGCTGCCCGAGGGCCGGGGGATGCGGATCTGCCGGGGCGGCCACCGGGTGAACCGGGGCCGCAGGAGGCGCTGCAGGAAAGCCAGGTAGGGCGTCTTGCCCTTGTTCCACGAGACGCGCAGGTGGTCGACGGTGATGACGCCGCGGACCTTGCGGACCTTTTCGTCGGCTCGCTCGGCGGCGACGAGGTAGAAGAGGGAGAAGACGATGCTGGCGATGTCGCGGAGCCAGGGGACGCGGATGCGCATGGCGGTCCAGAAGCCGGCGTCGAGGGCCGTCAGGACCCAGGTGGCGCGGAAGTAGGTCTTGTCGTACATGTTGGCCATGGGCTCGGGGCTGGCGAGCCCGACGAGGGCGCTGAAGTTGCGCGAGGCGTACAGGTACATCATGGTCATGAGGAACGTCTGCCAGGCTGTGAGGCGGCGCGAGAGGAGACCCGAGATGGACCTCGCGACGGGCGGGCCATGGCGGTTGCCTCTGCAGTGATAATGCGGTCAGACACAGATTCTGGATGGGAAGTGATGGATAGATGTAATTCACCTGTACAGGTAAAAGGTCCAAAAGGACAGGACGGCAAGGACTTGCAGGCGCCGCGACTTGGACGACGGACGCCCCAGGACGTGGTCTATCATGCTGTCCTCGAGATGGGCGTGTCTATGCTGATGTCGGATTCATGCCGAGCTGGGTCTGGAGAAGAGACGTCAGGAGGAACGGCACTCGCGGAAGAGTCAGGGAGAGTCAGGTCAGCAGCATACATACCTCGCGCAAGGGGACGGACAGGCGAGCAACTCGGGTGGCGTCGATACTCTGATACTGGGCCGTTGGCGCCGCAAGGCGAGGGAAAGGGGAGATGGAGTGCGAAGAGGACAGCGGAGCTTGCATGGCCAGGGCAATGGCTACGGTATTAGTCGCGGCCATGGCCTGGATGGAGCAGCAGCCGCATGTGAAGGGGATCCATCGAGTTCGATCCCTCGTGACTGTGGGTGTGTTTGAGTTGCTGACGTTTTGGGAGAGGCGCGAGGCGGGCTGACATGTGAAAGCGAGTGAGCGCGCGAGCATGGGGCTGGCTCTAACACCTGAGGTAACACGACGTCCACTGAGGCGCTGCGCTGGCGGGTCCTCCAGGAGAATCGGTTAGTGGTGCTAACCGCTGTTGGAGCGAACGGGCCTGGCAATTGTCAACGCGGGCCAGGCCATTGGCGGGGCTCCCAGCTCGTATGGGTGCCCGCACCGACCGCCGTAGTGCACTGCACCACGAGGGGCCCAGGCGGTGGTGACGTTGCTGGCATCCATGGAAGGATCCCGTCCATCCATCCCGTCCCATCTGACTCGCGCCCAGGGATCGCTTCCCGTTGCGCGTCTGACTGTGACACGTCGGCAACGAGACTAACAAACCTGGACAATGCATCTCCCGCAACAATAAGCCACATGGCCTGCTTTGGCGCACGGCACCTAGAGACGCCTCGAGCGACGCCATGCAGCGGCTCGTCATGCAGCGACCAACAGCAGCGTCCATCCCGTCACCGGACTTGCCCGGGCGGCGGTGCGCTGGTCGTGCGCGGGCGGGCGCGTGGGGGCGGCGTTACTGCGCGCTGCAGCATGGAATAGCCGAAAATCCGGGGTAGGCCGCTGCCCTCCTTGTACGTCCACGGGTACCTAGATTGACGAGACATTGCGAGGGCTTTTGTCGGCATCGGCTGAGGACATGTCATGACCAGTCCTTGGCCCCGTCTGCCATCAAAAGTCGGAGTATTTAAAGGCCAGATGAAATGTAATCCTTGGGTTCCCACCAGAAGCGGCCTCCACGACGGAGCAGCAAGTTGCCCAAGACAAACACGCCTCTCCCGCCCTAGCACGGAGGTGTAACCCGTCCTCCCGCTTGCCCGTGCAAAAGCCATCACGTCTGCAACACAATAACATCTCGTATCGCAAAGACAGCGTCGCGCATTGGCCGCCTTGGCTGGCTGTTCCGCATCACAAAATCGGCCCATTTTCGGTCGTCATTGCATCGTCATTGTCAAGCTTTCCAGGTTCCAGGCTGCGCGTGCTAGTTACTGGGGCTGGGGGCCGGGGCCGGGACCCCTCATGCCCGCCCTCCTCGGCTGCCGCCAGTCCGATCGGCAGGCGAGCGGGCGGGCGCCTTCTGCCACGCCGCTTCCTCCCATCTCCACCTCCACCCACTCAACTCAACCACGACGACGACGCTCCATAAGCACACATGCCGCATCAACTGCTGCCCGGCCGCGTCGACTCTGGCCTTGCATATTGGCGACGGACCATCACGAGACGAACAGCATACCAACTGTAGCCGCCATGTCGGGGAGCGGACAAGTCCCGGGCGAGCCCAGCGCCTCGGGCGCCGCCGACCAACTCACACCCATCGCTGTCCCGACGAGCCCCGTTTCGACCTCTTCGCCGAACCGTGCAGTCCAGAACCGCTTGTCCTTGGGAACCATTGCGTCTCACGAATCCATCTCCGACTCGAGCGACGAGGGACTCCACGTACGCATGAGCCCCGCCGCCGCCAGGAGGTTTGCCCGCCGCAACCTTCGCCACACTTCTGCCACGCCTGATCTTGTAACGAGCCTCGTGCGCCCGCCCTCTCCCGACGCTCTCTACATCGCCCCGGAAGTCCACGGCCGCGTGAGGCAAGGCGCGCTGGCCCGGGCCCTGTCCGCTTCCTCGCACTTGCTGGTGTCTGCCCGCGCGCCCAACGGGGCCTCTGATCGACGCTCCGGCCCTCTTCTTCCCCCCCACCAATCCTCCCTCGACATCCCAGCAAAGTATGGCGGCGAGTCCGTCTTCGACATGTACGGCCTCTCGTACGTCTCCGAGCCGGATGCGAACCTGCTCTGCCCCATATGCCACGACCCACTCGTCGACCCCGTTACGACGCCGTGTGACCACACGTTCTGCTATCGGTGTCTGCGCAGGAGCATATCATCGAGTCCCTCCGGTTCCGCCTGTCCGATTGACCGCGACCTCCTCTGCTGGCTCGACTGCTTCAGCGCCGCGAGGTTGATCCGCACCCAGCTGAACTCCTTGATCGTCAAATGTCCGTACCAGGGGAGAGGCTGCACCAAGGAGGTGAGGCGAGAGGTGGTCGAGCGCCACGCTACTGCCGAATGCCGATACAGGGAGTTCTCGTGCCCTGATATGGCTTGCGACAAGAGGGTGCGGCACAAACCAAAAGACGACGAATGCCCTCATCGCCAGATCAGCTGTGCGGATTGTGAGGCTGAGATGGAGCATGAAGACCGTGACATTCATCTCCTGTCCTGTCCCAAAGCCAAGACGCGCTGCCAAGGCTGCTGGCAGCTCGTGGTCCGGTCCCAAATGGATGTCCATAGCGATGCTGAATGCGATGGTGTCGAGGTCGGATGCCCATACGAGGACCTCGGGTGCCCGGTGCGCGCCATTCGCGGCGAGATAGGCGCGCATAAGCTCGGCTGTCCCTTTCACCCCGACACAGCGTCGGGAATCGTCATCAGGAATCAACGGCAGGTCATCCAATCCTACAATGACCTCGGCAGCCAACTACGGGACATGCAGACTAGGCAGGACGACACCAACCGTCGTATCGACGAACTCACATCGACGATGACTCGACGCACCGGCAGCGGTGGCGAATCCATCCTGAGCGACAGTCGCACCATGCAGGACCTGGATGCGGGCTTCGAAGAGGTGCACCAGAACCTCACGCATCTCGAGGCCCGTCAAAGCATGTGGACCCTGAATCAGGTGATGCCCATTCGGGAAGAGGTGACGGAGCTGCGCAACAACATCAACATGATCCGGATGCACGTCAACTGGCTGCTCAACAGGAGCCGGGAGGAGGGGCGCATTCGAGCCGCCAACAATACAGGCGCGTCGACTACGATCCGACGGGACAGCTCGGGCGAGGGAGGCCCGTTGTTGCCGGAGAGAAGGCGATCCTCTGGGGCGGAAACGGACCTTCCGCGGCTATGAAACATGAAGAGAACGAAAGGCTATGTACAACTATGGGCTTGGCATGGGAAAAGGGCCCTGCGTGTATGATTTTCGTGTGGCGTTTGGCGTCGGATACCCTCATGTCATGGTGCGAAAGTAAATCATGGGCAATGACACATAGAGAAATGATCTAAATATACAAATGGAGTTTCTTTTACCTTGAGAAACGGTGAATAGTACGAGGTATGATTCCCGGAATCTCGGGCACTGAGCCCAAAGCGAGACGGATGTGTTGGTGGCGAGCCCGTATCTCTCGGAAGGATGGCAGGCGGACTTTGGCTGAGCCTCCGGGCCCTGCGCGCGGAGTTTGGGGGCACGGGGACCGCTGGCCGCCAGACTATTTCTTTTGGGTCCCTACCCTCGCGTCGGTCAGCAGCCGATCTTCTCTTCCTTTGCCTGGCTGTCTCTGTATGGTCATTTGGCGTGGCAACAGCTGTTCGAACTGTGCGCAGCTGTTAGCAGGAGACCTCGTTTGTAGGGACCGGCTGGTCCTCAACTGACTGCCTGGACGGAGCTTTGGAAGGTTCTAGGCGGGTACTTGCTCAGGGCTTGGATGGGATAAGCCGCCGCCGGACCAGCGCCCCCCACCAGCTACCCGCTACCCGGACCTTTAGGCACCCGGACCTCAACTGACGTCCACTGCGGTCCCTGGGGGTTGAATTCCGTACCCACCACACTCCACCTCCACGGCCCTGGGCTGCACTGCTGCCACCACCGCGGGGCCCTGATGAAGTAATCCCGGAACCTCCATTCATCATACATCACACCTCATTCTCCAAACCTGCAGCCTTGCCTGCATCCTGGTCCGCCGCGCAGCTTCTCCTCCTTCATCACAACCCGCGCCCCGTTCACCAACTCGCGTCTCTCATTTACCCGCGACGAGGGGAACACGGAACGTCATGGATCCCAACGAGGAGCGCCAGATGTGGCCAGACGGCGACGCCCCGGACAAGCAGAAGATGGACCAGGCAAGTCCGCCGTCGCAGGCCTCGGCAGCGGCCCGCTCGATTGCTAACCGTGAATGCCGCAGATCCGGGCACGACGCCTCGCAAAGCTGGGCTCCGCAGCTCCGAAGCCAGTCGACAATGCAGACAAGCCAGACTCACCGTCCTCATCCTCGACGACGACACCCGCGCCGAAGCCCCAGCCGAGCGAGAGCCCCCGAGCCAACATCTCCATCACACCCGCCCCGAAGCCGCCGGCGCCGGGCTCCAACCCCTTCACGCAACTAGGCGTCCAGAGCAGCCGCAAAGACTCAGGTAGTTCCAGCCCGCACCGCAAGAGGACCGCCGCTGAGATTGGAGACGGACGCGCAGCCACGCCTCCGCCTGCCGCACGGAGCAAGCCCGCTCCCGCTGCCCAGGTCGAGTCGGACGCCGACTATGCGCATAGGGTGCTCACGCAGGTGTTCCGCATCACCGTCGACCCGCATCACATGATCAGCTCGTCTGGCCAACGGCTCATCTTCGTGCCGAACCTCAACCAGGAGCTGAACGAGGCGGGCGAGCCCTTGAAGCTGTCCGTCAACGTGCTGGACCAGGCCATCATCGAGGCGTGCGGCACCCTGCCGCTGGACCACCCGCTGTTTGGCTACCTGCTGCCGTGCTGGAAGCGAGCGGTCAAGGCGCACACCATGGCCAAGAACGTCAGCCCGGCCAGGTTAGAGGTGCTCGACGAGGCCAAGCGGCTGTGCATGAGCAACTGCCTGTTTTCACTAACGATGCCAGTCCTTTACGGGTCAGTATATCCCCATACTGGAGATATCCACCTAGCTGACTTGAGCTTCAGTCGAGAGGTCAACGCTGACCACGACTCGCTGGTACCGTATCTGCTGCGCGGAATCACAGACGATACCGGCCTCGACTTTGAGTTCATCAGGGAGGCCATCAAGCGCTTTGACGACGACGAAGCGTTCCCGGCGCTCTTCAGCGACGCCATGGTCACCATCAGCACTCGGCTGTCCGCGCTGTCCCTTGGCGACGACTACAAGCCATATGTCCAGGCGCTGTTAACGTACACACGGTTCCCTGTCCTCATCTCCAACCTGGCCCAGCACCCTTGTTTCAACATGGCACAGTCTGCGCCGGGCATCGAACGACACACCATCCTTGGTCCCTTCTTCCGAATCTCTCCTCTCCAGCCGGAGGCCATCAAGAGTTACTTCCCGGGCCCGCGATCCCTGGACCGAACACGTATTGCAAACGCCCAGGACTCCCTCCGCCTTACCTTGAGAGCTCATCAGGATGACCTCTTTGTCATCGCCAACGCCTTCATCAGAGCTGGCCCTGAGACCAGGAGCCTGACTCTGAACTGGTTCGCGTACATCATGAACATGAACCACAAGAGGCGGGCGATTCAGGTTGACCCGCGAGAAGTGGCATCGGACGGTTTCATGCTGAATGTTACGGCCGTCATGGACCGGTTTTGCGAGCCTTTCATGGATAACGACTTTAGCAAGGTGGACAAGATCGACGTCAAGTATTTCAAGCGGCAGCCGCGGATCGACATCAAGGATGAGACGAAGCTCAACGCAGACCAAGCGACGGCCGACAAATACTACTCCGAAAAGGAGGAGGGAGACTCCAACTTCATCTCAGAGGCCTTCTTTCTGACGTTGGCGGCACATCACTACGGAAGCGAAGCTCTCAACTCGCAGCTTAAGAACCTGGACCGAGAGATCAAGTACCTGGAGAAGAATATCAAGGCCATGGAGGCTGAGCGGCCAAAGGTTGCCAACTCTCCACACCAGCTGCGGCTGTTCGAGGAGACGCTTCGTCGCCACACGAACGTCTTGGAGAAGACGATTGCTCTGAAGTACGCCATCGAGGGTGCCCTGCTGGATGAGCGGATGCAGAGCACGTCGCTGCGATTCATGCGATATGTTGCAGTCTGGCTGCTACGGCTAGTCACAGGATCGGACTACAAGCCTGGCAAGGAGGTCGAGTCGATCAAGTAAGTATTTGTTTGCCTCCAGTGTTCGCCGAGGATCTATTGCTGACAGCCTCAGACTACCGCTCTCAGAGGAGCATTCTGAGGCGTTTGCGTGCCTACCAGAATACACCTTGCAGAACATCGTGGACAACTTCAAGTTCGTCTTCCGATGGCTCCCCAAGATCTTGCCGAGCGCCGTGGGTGAGGAAATGATTGCTCTGTGCATCACCTTCCTCCGATCTTCCGAGTTTATCAAGAATCCCTACCTCAAGTCGTCGCTGGTATCCCTTCTCTTCTCGGGAACGTGGCCGTTTATGCATCTGAAGAAGGGCGTGCTGGGCGACCAGCTCATCTCCCTCCCGTTTGCGAACGAGTACCTGCTCCGCGCCTTGATGAAGTTCTACATAGAGTGCGAGTCCACGGGCGGCAACGCGTTTTACGACAAGTTCAACATCCGCTACGAAATCTTCCAGGTCATCAAGACGGTGTGGATCAACGATGTCTACAAAGAGCAGTTGTCACGCGAGAGCAAGTGAGTTTGCAGTACTGGCCGCCCGCTCAGAGTTTGTCGAGCTAACCAGTCGTTTTCAGGGTCAATCGCAGCTTCTTCGTGCAGTTTGTCAACATGCTGCTGAACGACGCAACGTATGTCTTGGACGAGGCATTCACCAAGTTCCCCAAGATGCGCACTCTCGAGAGGGAGCTGGAGAACCCCTCTCTATCAGCTGAGGACCGGCAAAAGAAGGAAGAGGAGCTCCAGACCCTGGGGAATCAGGCCACGTCGTACATGCAGCTCGCCAACGAGACACTCGAGATGATGAAGCTGTTCACAAAGGCCCTCAGCGAGTCCTTCACCATGCCGGAAATCGTGTCGCGCCTGGCCAGCATGCTCAACTACAATCTCGAGACGTTGGCTGGCAAGAAGGCAGCCGCTGAACTGAGCGTGTCCAACAAGGACAAGTATCACTTCCGCCCTATTCAGCTCATTTCCGACTTTGTCGACATCTACCTGAACCTCGGCTACTCGCCCGTCTTCGTCGAAGCCGTCGCCGCCGACGGACGCTCCTACAAGCCCGAGGTGCTCGACCGCGTCACCCGAATTCTCACATCCAAGAATGCCAAGGATGCGGCCGACATCGCCAAGTGGGAGAAGATCAAGGCCAAGTTCCTCGAGGCCAAGCACGAGCTCGACCAGGCGGAGGTGGACCTGGGCGACATCCCCGCCGAGTTCGAGGACCCCATCATGGGCGACCTGATGAAGGACCCGGTCCTGCTGCCCAGCAAGCACATCGTCGACCGCTCGACCATTGTGCAGCACCTGCTCAGCGACCCCAAGGACCCCTTCACGCGCCAGCCCATGACGGTAGATGACGCGATCCCGCAGACGGAGCTCAAGGAGAAGATTGAGCAGTGGCGCGCGCAGCGCATCGCCGAGGCCAAGGCCAAGGCCAGTGCTGAGACGGCCGGCGAGCCAATGGACACGGCCGAGGGCTGAGGGGGGCCGCAGTGCGGACTCTTCCAGGGGTGGTTTGCGAGGATGGACCGCGCCCCCTTGACTTTCCTTTTTTTTTTTTTTTGCCTCTCTCGTTCTTCGTTCATGAGATCATTGCATTGCGATGGGCTGGGAAGAAAGGGGCCTTTAGACTTCCGGCGAGGAAACAACAACGACGACGACTTTGACGTATGCGTGGGGCTCCTGTGAAAATTTCCTTGAGGGGGCCGTGTTTTCTGTCAGTTCTGCCCACTTACTGTCACCCGTGGGGAAGCGGGACGGATGACACAGCGATGAGGAGAGAGAGGGAGAGGGAGGTGGTGCTCGTCCATGGATACGAGCGATGTAGACCTCTCATACGGGGCCGTCATAGAGAGATGGGCCGCAGAGAGCGCGGCGTTTGGTCGCGAGAATGGGAATGAGAAGTCATGTACATACGTGTGTGCGTGCGTGCGTGCGTGCGTTTGTGTGTGCGTGTCACTCTGTGTTCGTCGTATGTGCATACGAACTCCTTCAGTCTAGGCGTTCCATGGGACAATTTATGGACAGATTTGCACGGCTCTTCAGCATCACGGCCGAGCACTCCTCCCTCGCGCCCGCGTTTCACTTGCATCTGAAGACAGGAACATGTAGATAATCTGCCAGGGTATCGTGTTGAACGTGCGTACATCGTCATCGTCATCATCTTCATCTTCTCGTCATCGGCGCCATCGACGTCCTCGACTCCACGCTCCTCAACGCCCAAGCCCGTCACCGCTTCTTCCCACGCCACAAATGTTAAATGTCGAAAAAAAACACAGTCTCCCTCTTCTCAGCCTCTCTTCCGATATCACATCGGTTCACACCGCCAGATAGCCTCAGCCGCGCGCGCCCCGACGCCCCCTTGCCTTCGTTTTCCCTTTGCCGGGCGCCGCTCGGACGGGCGCCGCACGCAGCCTCCCCGTCGTGGCCCGGGGATGGATAGCAGCAGCAACAAGGTGGGCTGGACAGGACTTCACGATACGTGTGGGGGTGGTGGTCGCGCATAGATGGTGGTCTACACCGAGGCTTGAGGCGAGCCCGGCCCGACCATACTCCATTTCTTACGTCTGGAGCACCCGGCCTAGGTTCTGGTGCTCGACCAGCACGGCGTCCAGCTCGGCGACGAGCTGGCCCTTTCTCTCGTCGCGACACCAGCTCGCGTCGATGGCGCCGCGGAGGATCCACTCCCAGTCAGCGACGGAGAGGGCGAATTCGTCCTGCACGCGGCAGTAGACCTCCTGGATGTAGGCGCCGAAGTAGGCCGGGTCGTCGCTGTTGATGCTGAAGCGCACGCCGCCGTCGAGATATGCCCGCACGGGGGCGTGGCTCAGCTCGGGGATGTTGCACAGCCGCACGTTGGACCACGGGCACAGCGTCAACAGCGTGCCCGAGGATGCCAGGCGCGTCACCAGCGCCGGATCCTGGGCGGCCGAAAGGCCGTGATCGATGCGCGTCACGCCCAGATGGTCTAGCGATGCGGTGACGAACTCGGGCCCAGCCTCCTCGCCGGCATGCGCAGTCAGACGTGCCCCGGTGGTTGCAACCCGCGCGTACAGCTCCTTGAAGAGCTCCGGCGGGAAGTTCTTTTCGCTCGACACCATGCCGAAGCCCGCGAGCATGCTCCTGTCGGCGTCATTGCCGGCAGTAGCAGCGGCAGCAAGAGGGGGAGAGAGGTGGCCCCGGTCGAGGACCGTGTCGACGAGGGCGTGCGAGTCGGCGAGCGGCAGGTGTCGCAAAACACAGACGATGTACTCGACCGTGATGCCGAGCTCACTGACGGCGCGCTTCTTGGCCGCGGCGAGCCCCTCGACGATGGTGTCGTAGGAGACGCCGCGAGCCGTGTGCGCCTGCGGGTCGAAGAAGACCTCGGCGTGGCGAACGCGCTGGGCCGCGGCCTTGACGAAGTAGGCCCAGGCCAGGGCCTCAAAGTCGCCCGCCGTGACGAGCACGCTCATGCCCTGGTAGTAGTAGTGCAGGAAGTCGTCGAGGCACGTCCAGCGCGCGTAGCGGGCGAGCAGGGCCTCGGGCGAGGCGTACGCCGGGTCGTCGGGCAGCGCGACATTGTTCTTGGCCGCGAGCGCAAAGAGCAGCGGCGGCTCGAGCGTGCCTTCGATGTGCAAGTGATGCTCGACTTTGGGCAGGGCCACGAGGAGGTCGTGGAGCGGAGACTTGCACATGGTTCTGGGCTGTAGGTCGCTCTTTTCCTGGCCGGGTTGAGGCCGCTCGTGATCTATCCGCAGCCTCCTGGGGCGTACAAAGAACGCTTTCGTCGCGTTCCCACCTGGGTCCGCCGGCGGTTCTCCGCATCCAAAGCCATCGCCGGTCTATTCGGAATTTTCGGAGCACTCCGGCCCTTGGCATCGGCCCCCTGCGACTCTCCGCATGGCAGCCCGCGTCAACTGAGGACAATCAGCGACATGTCTTGTAACCGAAAGACGTCGTCGCGTCCTGCACGGTGTGCTCGCGTGGTGGCTTATACCCTCCTTGCCTGACCTACCACGACGTAGGCTCGTCGTGCCGCGTGCTGGTGCGGTCTGCTGGATAATACGAGGCGTCTCGAACCCGGCCCCGACTCCCAATGACATGGAGCTCCGTCAGACCCGTCTCAGCCAACGTCATTGCTCTTGGTGATCCGCTGCCAAGATGCCTCAGCCACCTTCTTGCACAAACATGTAAGCCCGCACGCACGACGCGCTTCAGCGGCTGACGCAGTGGCGGCGGATCAGCCAACGCCCCCTCATGTCGACGAGTTGTTGTTGCCGCTGACATGTCAGTTGCGACAGCACCGGTTGGTCGGCCTCGAGAATCACCGCCGAGTGCCAACGAGCGGCAAGGGCCGGATGCAAGCCGGTGAGCTCATGGCCTGCGCCGGGAGCACAGCAGAAGCGCGGCACCGGCAACCTGTTTGAAACACGCGGGTGTCGTGTGCGGGTTGCAGACCTCCATGTCGCCACGGCCAGCCCGTCCGGCCGTATCGCGATCCAAGGGCACCGGCCGTGCCGTGCCGTGCCTCGCTTGAACCGTGGCCGTGCGCCGCTCATCTGCAAATATAACATGTATTCGCATGTCTGTCTGTCGCAATGCTCCGTCCGTCCCCAAGCGACGAGCCAAGCCGGGCGGGCCTGTTACATCCGTTTCGGATCATGACCCGCGGAGCCGAGGCGGCCTCCACGTCCAACACAACCATGTTTCATGCCGCGCCGACCGACGGGCTCTGCAACCTGTCGGGCGCTTGCGGGCCGGGGCCCAGAAGCCAAGCTCTGAAGCCAAGCCCTCGTTCGGTCTTGATCCCAGCTCCAGCACACCTCATCAGAGAGCACCCCCGGCTGTCCGAAACCACACCCCCCCACAACCAAAGCCACGTCTCGGGCCTGCTCGGCCACGAGCGTTGCGTGCGTGCGTGCGTGCTCGCACTTCTTGTTGCAGGACCCCGCAGCAGTTAAAATCAACAGCCGCCACCGTCGCCATCCGTCATGGGTCGGCGTCGGGAGTGCCTCCCAGTGGCTCGACCGTCCCGACTTTCGGTCCATGATTCGCGGGTTTACGACCACTGCCGGGGAATCGCCATGTCAAACCTGCCTGCCATGATATGCAAATCAGCCAAGCAGAGCATTCGTAGCACAAAACAGCACTGCACTGTGCTGTGCTGTACCTGTGCACCGGAGGCCTTGGAGCAGGCAGAATAGCGCTGCCACCATCTCGCGAGCGCCATGCCCTAGATTCAAGCTGCTTGCTTGCCTGGTCTCTCGGCACGGCAAAGCAATTTGGCGAGCGCTGCTGTCAAGGCTCGCAGTTTATACGCACGCGTGCTCGGCTCACGGCACAAACGGCCTTCTCCAGCCCGGATCGCGGATGGCACCCAAGAAGAATTCGTAAGCTACCGGCTGGGTCGGCAGAGCATTCTGGAGTCGGCTGAATCGTCAAGCCAGCGACCAGAACGCACGAGCTTCCAGGTGCCGGGATGCTCAGGGGCTGGCCCCGGAGATGGTCCTCCACAGCAGCAAGCCTCCTCCACGCCATGACGCCCACCAACAGCCTGAATGCCGCTTGGTCGCAACTCGACACGGTTGGGCGGCAGTTGCTCTCGCTCCCCCCCTCGGTCCAGGGCGGGGCAGGCGTCTGGAGCCCGACTTTTCGCCACCAGCGGTGAGAACACCCTCGGAAATCCGCCATCTGCAATCTGCAACTCGGCGGCCACCACCACCATCAAATCAAGCCCACCCCGCGGCAACCCGGCTGTCTGGCCCTTGGGTCCGCTGCTAAAAGCCAGCCTCGCGTGCTGGATCCGACGGATGGCGCAGTCCAACAGCGATCGTCGGTCCGTGTTGCGCCGCGCCTCTAGCGCCAGAGGCTCCCGAGATTGGCTTTCCGGCTACGTGCAAATTGCCCGCAGCGAACCGGGGTCAGGAGGCCAGCGTGCCCTGGCGAGCCTGGGGGCCTCGTGCCTCTGCCTCGCCAGGGCTTGGGACAAGGTTTCAACCTAGCCGCTGGTTGGCATTGTGTCAGTGCCTCGTTGTCTTGCCCCAGCCGAATGACTGCCTGCAAGCTCGGACCCTTCGTCCCTGCTTTTTGGCCAACGACCCGTCAGGAGGAGTCTTCATGCCGAATGGGATGGCCGGTATGGCCCAGGGGCCGCCATGAGACAGCATCGCGCTGCGGGTGCAACGTTGGTCATAGTCGACCACGGATGCTGCATCGTGACCCTACAGAGCTGTATGAACAACTGCCTGTCCACTCGAGCTGTTGAGATTTGAGTCGCGGAGCCGTGGCAGCCCAGCCGGGCCCATGGCAGCAAACTCAGCATGTGCTTCTGACCCTTTACAAAGTCGTCGTACTCGCAATGCGACTGGGTACCGAATCCACCATTGCAAACCCATGGTTCGGTCCTGTCGACGTCGGGACACCCAAGACAGGACATGATTTGCCTCGCCAGTCCCTCTCCTTATTCCCCCCCTGGCAAGTTCCGGAGGCAGCCGACCAAGCGGGCTCGCTCCGGAATTGATTGCGCTGCAGGTCCGATACAGCAGCTCACCCGGAAACCGGGAGGGGAAATGATGACTGGTGATCTCTGGCTCTCCGCTCAACGACGATCCAGCGGCGGGCAGGCCTGACTGCCTAAAAGCCAGTGGGCCGGAGGGGGGGTGGTGTGGGCGTCGAGGGCGTCAAGCGCCGCAGCGCTTCCCAACTTCTGTAAGTCTGCTGAAGAAGGGGAGATGGCACCATCACATGTTGTCCAGGCGCGCGCGCGGCGACAGCAGTCATGATCCTGAAGGAACGTACACCAACACCATGTATATCCATATTTTTCTGTGGTGTCGCCAGCAATGGACGCGCAATCCCGTTGCAGAAACAGGCCGCTAGCTTGGGCGAGGTTCAAATAGACACGGAGCTGTGGTCCCGCGCGGCGAGCCATGTGGTCCGGGCGAGCTGGAGCCGGCCGACCTGGTCGCACCGTCCAGGCCCAGCAGGGACGACGTGGAAGCCCACAGACATTCTGGAAGCCACAGAATTGGCACCACTTTGGGGCTGCGCCCGTGGGTCGGGTTGCGCCCGCTCGCCCTGGGACGCCCCATCGGCCCCGGCGCCGGTGTTTCGTGCTCCAAGCCAGGCGCCTTGGTGACCGGGGATGCGGCAGCATGGGTGCCAGGTGTCAGGAGAGGACTGTGCCACCCGAACTCGTCGATACTTGTGAGGACTGCGCTTGTGCGTGCATGGGGGTCATGGAGCGGCCACCAGCCTGCCGCTGCCGCGCATTGCATGTCGAATGGGTTAGTGGGCAAAGTCGTCGTCACCGAACATCCGTGGGCCCAGCGGTGAAATCTCTGCTTGGCGTATTCCATGTGCCCGCAACGAAAGCCACCGACGGGGAGTCGAGGTCAAGGTGACGATGGATCACTGGGCCGCCTGCTTTCGAGGAGGTGTTGGGTGGGCGACGGGCCGATGGCAAGCAGGTCGAGCCGTGGCGATACTAACTTAGATGGCACCCGGGACGATGTGACAGCCGGGCCGACCGAGCGGCCTCCCCCTGCCCTCCCCTGGCGGAGTTGGGCTAGGAAGAGGCGCGACCTTTCATGTCCGGGCACGGCGAGTCCCCCACAGAGAAGGCCTTGGCCTTGGCGCCAGGGAATGTCGCAGCTGGGGCTTGATTCGCGGAAACCGACCCCTCCGCAAACAAGCCGTTTGGGTGACGACGTCAAGGGCTGGTCGGTGGACTGGTGGCTTGGTTGCCCGCTTGGTTGACCTTCCTCTTAGGAAGCCCCAACCGTGCTCGATCGCCGCTGGACCAGGCGCTGCCATGTCGGCTGGTTGGTCAGTGACAAGCACGCAACCCCGGAGAGCCTTCGAGTGGCTTGCTTGACCTGGTAGGGCCAGGCTTACCAACACGACGAGCAAAAGCGGATGTGCGTGGTGTTTGGGGGTTGGCGTGCAAGAACGGGCCAGCCAGCATGCAGCTTATCGGTCGTGAACAATGAATGTCCCGGGCTGCCCGGCGGGAGCATGACGACGACTATGAATAACACGTTGGGGTGTGAAGATGTTGGGTACTTGCTTCACTTCTCCGAACTGTACTGTACAGTACTCGCAGACTGAGGGAATAAATCGTGGGAGCCGTGAGAGCGCTTTGGCCAGAATGCCGCCTCAGCCCGTCCCCATGGTCATCTCCAGGTGGGCCCCGAGGGCGTCGGGCCTGGGGCCTTGGTGGGATCAGTGAGCGCGTGCTGCCCCTTGGTTGCGGCAGGATGGCCGCCAGTCACTTTAGCCTATTCGCAGGCGTCTTGGGGGCACAGACACTGGCGCGGCCGCTGAAGAGGCGCACATCATCAGTGGCCCGGGCTGGCTGTCGAGCGTGCGTTCGAAGGGTGGGCGGCAGAGACATGTTCCGAGATATCCTGGTTCAGTGGCAACCTCACATATCACTTCTGGCGCCCGTCCCTCTCCACTGGACACCCCTTCGTGGGCTCGCTAGCCTCGGCTGCTTTACCGACTGCGGCGCTCGTCGCGGGTGGGTGCGGGCTCTCGAGTTGCGTGCTCGACGTGACAACGGCCGCTATGTGCTCCGTGCTGCTGGGCCGTCGGTGCTGGGCCCGCTGGCTCGCGAGCGCCGGATGACCCGTGGGTTCTGCCGCGACAGCGCTTGGCCGGCTGCCCAGGCACCCAGCCAGAGAGGCCTGACAGCGGCTCTGTGGACGGGCCCCGTGAGAACAAGTAGCTTGGGAAGCAGCGGGGGGAAGTACGAGTAAGGTACAGTGCAGGGCGCCACCAGCGCGTGTGCCGGTCAGTCGCGAGGTTCAAGGTTGGGTCGTGTCTCGACGGCGTCGGCTTCGGTTGCCGTGACGGCGGAGGGCCAGAGGATTATGCGTGCAAGCATACTCGTAGACAGGAAAGCGGCCGTGATGCTGATCAATGCATTAGAAAGCACGCCGATGAGATCATCTTGGTACTATGGCGGCGCATGGGCAGGGTCTGAAGTTTGCGTGCATGCTGTCCGTCTTTGCACGAATGTTGATGAGAGTGTGTGTGTGGCGGGCTCAGCTCTCGTCAGCACGAGGGCGAGGGGGGTGAAGCCATTGACGTCGGATGTGAAAAGCCACGGGCGGGAGTGGCATTGCATTGCATTGTCTGGCTCCTTCCGTCTCATCATCATGTCACTGCCTCGGGCAGGAGCGAGCCAGCCAGCCAGCCAACCAGCCAGCCAACCAGGCAACCAGTGTGGGAGCCTGGGAGCGTTGATTCAGGCTCTCTTGCCGCTTGGCACGCTCGCGCCTGCCTTGTGGAGGCAGAAGCACAACCGGACGGAGATCTGCGGCGCCGCGAAGGAAGCAGGCGCGTCGGCAGCAACACACTCAGGAGGAGCAGGAAGGAGCCATGGGCGGCACCAGCACCAGCACCACCAGCAGACACTCCCAGGGGAAGGCGGCATCCCGGACGAAGCAGAGCTGGAAGGAGACATGCAGTGGCCCAAGGCAGTGGCCCGCGACCATGTCTGGGCATTCTGAATGTGCTCGAGACGGCTTTCGCTTGTCTCTTGTTCGTCCGCTCTGGACCTCGTTGTACG